TTTTGTTACTGTAACTCTTCATTAAGTATCCGAAATAAAATTTTTGTGAACATCCGTCCGGGTCTCGATTGTAATTTGGTCTTCTAGCTCGACAAGGCTGATTGTCTACCTGGCGCTCACTCATCTAGTTATCTGCATAAAGAATAAAAATTAGGAAGAAAATAATACAAAGTTATCTTGTATACACAGAAGATTTTAGACCAATGAATAGCGCTTTCGATCGTACTTATGATTATTCATGATGACCTTTCGGAAGCTCCAGGCCAGACTTTGGAATAACCGTAATAGGACAAAAATAATAATTGGAATAACCGTAATACGACAAAACTTCAGACTGGCTAAAATTCTCGACTCTATGAATTATTTCCGCTCCGTCTTTTATAAATTTTTAAAATAGCCAGATCTCACACAAATATAAGTTAAACAGCTAATTTATTAAGATGTACCTTTTTTAATAGTCATTCAAAAATATTACGTTCAGAAACAGTTTATATTTTGCCCTAACATGCTCTGCTAGGAGACGATGATGCATCTAAAAAGGATAATGTTAAAATTTTGTATTTGGAACTGTTATATTACCTACTTGTACACCTCGCTTATTTGTTGCAATCAGCACTGCCCAACTGGCATATTATTCGAAGGGTTTTTAAACCCAGTAAACACATTCTGCAAATGTAATTAAAATGTATTAACCTAGAAATGTTTCGTTTTTGTTTTCATTGAGTCGATTTTTATAACTTAAAAAATATAATATTAGATAGATAAGTAACCCTCATTTATTTAAAAAAATAATAAAAGCACTTAACTCTCTCCTAATATTTTAAGTAAAATCGCTGAATTAATAATTATATAAATATCTGATGTTATTAAAAACTCATATTTTTATCAACTATGTAACTGTTCCCTTGATAGAATTGGATAATGTTATCTCGCTTTCAAATGAAATAAGTTTAAATGAAGTGCAACAAAAAATGTGTATAATTTAATAGAGGCAAAAGGAAGTTACGTTATGTCCACATCAGCTTTTTTTAACCAGTTTAGTCAATTATTAAACCAGGTAAATAAAATCCTGATAGTTCCTGAGCTGTTCCATTTACGCAATTCATTGGTGTTGTGGTTAGACACCAGACAGCCCTAAAGGGTCGCGGTGAAAACCCTACCTTAAAACGCATCTAGGTTTGAGTTTACCTTTTCTATACTTACGCAAAGAACAAATCCTCCTAGACTATGTGGGTCAGTTCCCATGACAACAGTCATGTCTAGAATTTCGGATAACTCTTGCTCCAAAATATAAGAAAGATAGCATCTGCAGATCCTTTAATACTAAATTCCATTTCCTTTGTTCTGATGGAGTAATTTGAAATGACATATTAAGTTTATTTAGATAATTAATGAAACATAAGCAAGTTGTTAATACTAAATTTACCAAATGGTTATTCTAAATACAAGAGAAGTGGAACTGAGTTCTAAAGCTCAGAATATTTAGTTTACGTTATAACTGACCATTTTCTTTCATATATAGGTTACACCAATTTTATCACTTCAAACTTAATATTTTGTTAGTTATAAAATCAGCTTTCATTTATTTCTAAATGTAATCCTTTTTTTTTGTTTTAGGTAATGTTAAAGGAAAACATTTTAATTTAAGTCTTCATTAGAATGGTTTTTGGAGACTTTGTAATGAATGATCTAGAAGCAATTTTAATGCTTTGAAACAAGACACAACCAGTTTCATATTTTCAGTGAAATAACTTTCTATGCAAAAAATGAAATTTCAAAGGAATAAAATAAATTAGAAATTTTAAGACAAAAAGTAAACAAAATATTATATCTATTCATACAACAAAAATTCATTATGACTTCTGCATTTTCTTAAAGTTTCCGTGGAAAAGTATGTTCATATACTGTAATTGTTATTAATTTAATAGACTGTAATTAATTTAATTAAAATCAATTAGTTTATAATTTAGCTAACTAATTATACTTAGGACTATATTATGAGATATAATATATTGCAAGATTTCAAATAGTCCATACCTCAGTTTGTGCTTCCGGTAAATCTCCTACCATTTCAAGAAATTTAATTTTTAGTATTCGAAGAAAGCACAGTTTACGATTCTGTATCAAACTTTCTTTTACTCAGCACAAATATATATTACATTTTTATTATTTTAATTATATTACATTTTTCACACCTATGATAGAGAAACATTTAACGGTCCACAAGTTATGTTTGCTTTGAAAAAGAGTAAAAATACATTTATTTTGCGCACTGCTTCCATTAGGAAAACACTAGAAAGACGACTTCAAAAATGTTAAGACATTTTTGCTGATTTTGTTTCATTCAGATAGCTATGCTATTTTGACATCCGTTTATGATACGTCATTAAAGTCTCTTAAAAAGGACCGAAAAACTACTATTTCTTCTTTCATTTTTAATTCCTAATAATATCTTCAAAATTATTATTCTACTAACCATTTAAAATTATAATTGTTGTAATTGTAATTTTTATATTCATTAATTTAAATTCTAGAACTGTCAATTGCTTCTTGAAATCTTTTACAAAAATATAGGAGACTATGTCCATTATAGTTTTAGTTGCTTTATTTCATGAAATTTCTTAAATTTAGATTCTTTTTAAGGTCTCAATGAGTAATAGTGATTGAAAAGAAGAAAGCATCTTCATTGTAAAGTTTCATCGAAAATTTAAAGCGCCTTACATGTTGAACTGTATCTTTTTGTTTATGAAACCAAATGCGTGTAAAATCTTCAGTAAAATATTATTAACTTTCAGGACTGTATGTTATTATTCTAAAACTTTATTCATATTTTAATTAAAATTTCATAACTTAATATTTGGAGTTTTTAGGGTTCAGATTTATACCTGCAAAATTAGTAGAAAATACGATATTGATATAGTTATCTATATATTGATATATAGATACATATATATATTGATTGGTATATATATATATATGTATGTATTAGAGAAATCCGAGAAAACGGCGGCGCAGATGATCGCTAAAACATCATTTTTATCCTCAACAGAAAAAATTATGTGCATTTTTGTTTAAACTGGTGCCACGTTAATGATGCCAAGCGCACCCAGCAATTTCTGTATATACAGTTTTTCTTGTAGATGTAATAGAGAAAGAAGACGAAGCGAGAGACGTGATTTATTTACGCAACAGCGAGCGAGAAAAAGGTGATGCGTACTAATTGCAGTCATATTTATAATCCGGAAATTCTTTGTTTTAATACTGAGTAGCGATTGGGCTAATGATTTCGCAGTGCAGAGAAGATGCAGAAAAGAATGACGTAACGTTCTGCAGACTGGAACAAAATGGTGCAAAGCGTAGCCTTGAAGTTGGAATGTGTTTAATTAAAATTTATTAATTTAAGGTCTACTGCCAGTTGCTTTCAACTAAGTTTCATAATTTTGTAGAGAAATCAGCAATTTAATTGCATTTTAAATCAAATTTAAATGTAAGGATGTTTACATAAAGCATATTTATGTCCTAGTTTACGTATAGGCTTATTATTGTAAAAAATAAAAGATTTCGAATTATGGAGACGTATAAAATAAACATGCAAACACTGTATTGTTTGGGAAGTTAATATTATTCATTTTACATTTTAAGAATGCATAAAGATTTTAGACATTTTTCGCCAAATATCATTAGCATCTGTCAATATAAATGTCTAAAGGTTGTGGGAATGCTATAAATCTATGAAAGTTTCCTGAAACTAATTAAAAGTTTGTGAAGTCCTATAAAATTTGTTGAACTACAATATTACATCTTGATTTCCAAGATAAAAATCCTTTCTTAAAATATCAAGGTTAATTTTATTCCACTCCTCCTTCACACTCTTCCAGAGTGCGTCCAATGTTTCCTAATTTTCTCTAACTTATTAAGTCTTTTCCTTCTCTTTTTGAGTAGTAAATCGATCTTTTTTCTATTGCAATCAGATACGTATATCCGAGCCTCATCACCTGTAACTACATATTTCCATTTTTCATCTGCAAAATAATTTTCATACAGCAATCTGCACATAGTCTTACGCTGAGAAACAGGTTTCGGTGTTAGACGATGACCATCATATTTTTATTAGTTTTTTATAATTTTGTTTATATTTCCTATAAAGATATTTAAAGATTTTGCAATAGCTCTTTGGGGAGCTGGATTTTCCTTTAAAGCATGAGATACGATTTTAGATTTAATAAGATCTGTACGTGCCTTTGTTGAGTATGCATTTTTTGCCTTTTTCCCTGTCAGATGTAAATGTTGACGTTTCTTTCCTTTCATATTAATTATGTCACTTATTTTACATGTAGAAATATTAGAACCATGCTTTTCACTTCTGTTTTTAATAATTGAGTAAGCGTATTTCTCGTCAGACAGCGCAATAATATACCCTTCAATTCATTGTTTATTTTTCGGCGACATTTTGAAGAAAAGAATATTTTTAATTGCTGCAGACGATAACTAAACTTTATTCCAATTGTATGCCAGTCACATTTGTATTTTAAAATTAATACTTAAATTCATCGATAAAATCAAATCGTTGCAAAAATATGTGAAAACTCTTTGTGCATTTAAAACCCTTATTTGTGAAAATTCTTTTACTGCATGGTTACGAAGATTTTTTAATTTACCAAGAAAGAATAGGTTGCTGATATTTATGAATAAATTTAGGGCTTAATATATTTAAGACAATTACAAAGTATCATAATTTAATTCTGGAAATCAAAATAGTGCAAAGTTTCTTATACAGAATTTGCCTAAATAAATATCCTTCAATGTTGAAAAATTGGTTTATTCTGAGAAAATACAAGCATATTCATAGAAAATTAATTTCTTTATGCATATATGATTTTTGAATTCTTTTATCAAATATATTAATGCTCCATAAATAATTGATCAAAATATTCTACAGCTATCTAATCCTTTGATAAATGTTATTTTTTCCTAATCTTTCTTTCGTTTTCAAAATCTAGAAACTTTGGTATCTTCATGTCTTACCATCACTCAACTCTGAGCTGCAGACACCTGAAGTACTAGCAGCAGCACTCCAGCCGCTTCTGTACATGATAGAAGAGTCCACTACTGAAGAATATACGCAACTTATCCTTCCTGTCTTTAGAGCTGTCTTTGCCATGCCAAAGAGTGTACAGGTACTGTAAATTATGCCATACGTCTTTCACATTTAAAGCGTTATATTTCGAGTAAGACTCAAGTTTAGGATTTAGCGTGTAGGAAGATGCTGCTCAAGATGATAATCATCTTCTTTTAAGGATGTTTAGCATTAGTTTTGTTTTTAACTCTCATTAGGTCAGCGTTAACCACAAACTGTTAACAAACACTTGGGGTTACCCAAGACAACATATGTTTACATTAAGAACATGAGGACGTGTTTGTCATTCTGTAAGACTCCAAACATTAAAATAGGTACTGCATTCCTTAAATTTGTTTGATACTGAATTTTCATTTTTAAATATGTATATAATATTAGTAAATTATTCCAAACAATTTTATTAGTAATGCGCATTTGCTTATTTTATAAAATTGTCACATTTGTTTCAAAGTAATATTTTATATAGCTTGCTAGAAATTCAAAAATAGCTTATCATAAATAATCATTATGAGCAGAAATTCAAATTCTTCTGCTCAAAATGATTAACACGAAGTTTTTCATGTGGTATCTAGAAATCCCAAAGAAGCAAAAAGAGTAAACAATAATATAAAATTTCGATGGTTAATTGAAACATTTTAGGTAATGTAAATCACATGGGGATATCTACCAAGGAAGAGATGCTTTTATGGAGAACGTTTTTGAAAAAACTGAATTATATTCACTTCGAAAACCACAAAATTGCCATACTGTCACGAAAATGTTGGTTTCAGTCTAGATCCATACGAAACTCTTAAATTATGCTTTGAATGATTTATTGGTTTTGAATGTAGGTAACAGACACGTATTATTGGACAGAATTTTCCAATATTGTCATATCCTTCTTTTTCTTGGGCGTGTAGATTCAAGATATGTATTTAATTCCTACCGTAGACGTATCGTATTGTGTGCGTTGCATAAAAGAGCCATTTTAACGGCACAAAATTTTATTAACACACAAATAAAAATAATAAGTACAAACGATTAACACACAAGTATAACTTCGTATTTTGAATCTAAGCTGACATACAACACGTTTCCTTCGTTACTTCGCTACTACCTACTAACTACTCTTCTCTAGTAAGTCTCATGAGAGAGAGGCGTTGCAGGCCGTTCGGCTAAACTGCGCATGCGTGGTCATCACGTCATGACACCTCCCCTCGAAAAGATTTGATTGCGTCTTTCAATGACCTGTCAAATTCCACATATATAAACATTTCTTGAAACAAAATAAAATAACATCCATGAAAATTTTCGAAACTTAATTAACCAATTCTTACCATTTTAAAGTGAAATTACTTCAAACATAAATTCAGTAATCCTATTCATTTAAAAGGTGTAACAATTCTTTTCAACATTAATCATATATCATATCATATAAGCAGTTATCATATAAACAAGACAATACAAATCAATCATTAAACATTAAACATAATACTTTAGCAAACCCTAGCTAAATCTTTAAAACACATTACCTAACGTTAGAAAAAAAATTTAGCATTTTAGCTAAAAAAAAAGAAAATTTCAAACTAAACAGTCAAAATGTCTTATAGTCATAGTTCATAACTTCAGTCATGCTTCACTCACTAGAAAATATAATCATGTCATTTTAGTCACGTCACAATAAAACTCAGCATGGTCTTTAGTCTACGCATAATGTTACTGTTCATTTTGTTAACGCATAAATTACTGGATGCACATATTCACTTTTCTGATTCAACGATTAGCTTTAACTGTAAAAGCTTATCTATTGACGATCAGCTTCAATTCTTAGAACTTCAGGTATTCGATACGGTTTCTGCTTTCCTGGCATACTTCCAGGTTTCAGTTTGTGCTGTGTTCTCTCCCATTGGCGATTTTCGGAATACCAGTTCTTAGGTTCTTATGCCTTCTTTAAAATTTCTATAAGTTCTTTCTTCTTATGCGGTTCAAGGTGCGTAAAAATCACATTCCTCATTAGATAGAATAGTGTTCTTTTGCTTTCCGTGGAACAATTCTTGGAACGTTTTCAACTTCGCCGAAATCAATATCTGTATCATATATCACACCGACATTATTCACAGCGGTATATGAACTCTCGTATCTTGTTTGCGTGAACGTGCTTCGATGAATTGTCAGGCATTTGTACTATGTAACTATAATCAGTATGCTTTTTGATGATCGTAGCAGGTCCCGTCCATCTGGCATAAACTTTGTTTTGGCTATCAGTGATTAAAACTATAACCCTGTCACCTTCCTTGAATTCTTTATGACGAGTCTTTCGGTTACGGTAGAATGCATAAGCTTTTTGCTTTCCAACATCTGTAAGTCCTGCGTATTCAGCAGCTTTTTCCAATTTCGTCTTCAAATCATTCAGATAATCGGTAACTGAACTTAACTGTCCATGTGGAACAGGAGTTTCATTAATCCATGACGTTTTCAAAATAGACAACGGGCCATTAGGACGTCTTCCATAAAGCATTTGGAACGGACTAACACCAGTCGTAGCATTAGGATCTTCTCGGTAAGCCCAAAGTAAATACGGTAGATGTTTCTCCCAATCTTTCGAATGTTCTCTAACGGTATGATGTATCATTCCCTTTAAAACAGCATTAAATCTTTCTACCAAGCCATTTGAACTTGGATGATAAGGAGTCGAGAACCTTGGGGACGATCCGATCCTTTTCAAAAACTCTTGGGTCAACGAAGCAGTAAAATTAGTTCCTTGATCTGAAGCAACAATTTGAGGAATTCCTGTGCGTGAAAAGATTTGCAACAATGCATCGCATGTTGCTTTGGCATTCAAATTCTTCAATGGCACCGCTTCGGGCCACCTTGTACATTGATCAACAGCACACAGAACATATTTGTAACCTCTACAGCTTGGCTCTACAGGTCCTAGGATATCCACATTAATTACCTGGAATGGTTCTTTAGGACGTGTTACTGGCGTAATCGGAACTTCATCAAAGGGACGCTTTTTCGCTTGAAGTTGACAAGAAGTACAAGCACTGCAGTATTCATTTACATCTTTCTTGATTTCCGGCCAATAGAACGAATATCTCAAACGTTCGGCTGTCTTCTTGGTTCGCAGGTGGCTTCCCCATAAGCTAGAATGAGCTAAGTCCAAAATTTGTTTTCTTCTTTCTTTAGGAACGACTAACTGGTAAACTCTTTCTCCTAGAACTTTATCTTTATGATACAAAAAGTTGTCAATAACAATAAAGTTATTACTTCCGTTCTTAACATTTTGCCAGCATGTTTTTAAAGATCATTTGTTGCACTCGAAACAGGTCTGAATCCGAAACACATTGATCGTGTCTCGTGCTACCTTTGGAATCATCCTTACCTGTATCTTCATATACAAGAGCACAACATTCTATTATCTTCTTAACAGTTTCATTAGATTTTTCATTAATTAGGTTTTCCCTATCATGGTTAAGTATTTCGTCAAAATTTTCAGTTTCCTGAAAAGGCATTTCACCGAAACTATCAGTAGTAATGTTTACATTTCTACATTCAAAATTAAACTTTCTTTTATCATCTCCCCTTAACGCATTAAGAGTAAATCATTACATAACTTATCCACCATTGAACATGTTATAAAAATAGGTGACATAAATTTATCATTTTCAGAATATATTACTAAAGGTACGTTAATGAGAGGAGCTTTTAAAGCTTGCCCGAAAGCTGACGTGAGGATAACACTTCCATGTGGCGTACGGTATTTTTCTGGTACAATGTCGGCCTTGACAACGGTTAATTACGTGCCTGTATCTGCTATTGCATTAATTAATTTACCATTACATATAAGTTTAACGGTTGGCAAGTCATCTATTAATTCTTTAACTTCTTGATTCGCAGTAAAATATTTAGAAGAAATCTTTGCAGTTGCGGCGTTAGAATTATTCTTAGTTTCTTCTTTAGCAACCCTTTCCTTATCTTCATGCAACAATATATTATGATATACTTAGAATTACATTTTGAACATTTTAATTGAGGAAGGGCAATTTTTATTCTACAATTCCTTTCGAAACAAATAAAGCACCGATTAGAAGCCCTTAAACTCTTTTTCCTTTCTTCCGGAGACATAACGCATTTTTCCGAAGCATGATTTTCGCTTTCGCAAAATAAGCAAGGGAAAGTTCGAACAACTGCAATTTTGCTTACATTAGGGGAATAGCTGGCACCAAATTTGTTGGCGTTGAATGAATTCCGAGTGTGGAAGTTGTTTCGCTTTTCATTTGGTTGTGAATGCCTTCCAAGAGAATTAGGCGTGACTCTTAGAATAAAATAAATTTAATGAAGTTCGTTCGCGACTTTCAATTTCCCGCTTTAGAAATTTCATGAGGTTGTCGACATTAAAAAGTTTCCTCATCTGCGTTTTGACGAGCAAAATCAAGCGTTATATCCTGAGGTATGCATTTCATTAACAAAGGGTTATAGTAAACTTTCCATACGATTCGGTCTTGACCCCTATCGAATTTAGTGACCTTACTTGTACGTTGCAGGTATCATATAATTCCCTCAAAGAATTAATGTCATTAGAACTTCGGACAGGCCGTAAATTTAAAAGTTTATGCATGTAAGAATTAATAAGGAGATCCTTTCGACCATACCTCTCCTTGAGAATTTTAAAAGCTTCGTCGTAGTTTTCTGGAGATAAAGAAAAACCTTTCTATTGTTTTGAAAGCTGCACCGCCTAACAGGCTAAGCAAGTAATTAAACTTATCTACTTTAGATAGTTTTTCGTTTTGATTTATTGCCGTGTCAAAAGAATTGTAAAATGTCTGCCACATTTCAGCATTCCCATAAAATTTATCAATCATAATCTTTGGCAATTTAACATTATAATCAGAACTTTTATCGACACCAGAAATAGATAAATTGTTACTATCATTAGAAGAACCATTAGAAACTAGCGAATTATTGCTATCTCTTTTTTCTTTCAATAATTTTGTGCCTCTAAAGCTCCATTTCGCAATTTTTTCTTCGTATTCCAAGGCACTTTCGATTTCGGTTTCA